AACAATGGAGATGAATGCTACAGAAGAATAAAGCTGCATACAAGGCGGACATAACACCTGTAACATCTTCCCCTTTTCATATTAACAACAAACATTGTAGAAGTATACATATAACAAGAACAACTAAAGGTAAATCCTAGAGTGGCAGGAAATGTGTCACAGAACAATGGAGATGAATGCTAGAGAGGAATAAAGCTGCATACAAAGTGGACATAACACCTGTAACAGTCTCCTGCCCCATCTCTAACTAGCGCTGATCCTGTTTAACTAGAACAAGGTTGTCCAAGTGCCAGAAATTACCAATTGGGTTTTAATCTTACCTGAGGTTTTGAGGAAATCAATTAGTCGGTCTGTTTATCCAGAATCTTCCACATGTCAGGATTCCTTGCTAAAATAAAGCAAGGTCATACACACACTTGAAAATAAATCAGGAAGCCTGTAATTGTGGAGTCTGCCTGGCAAGAACAAAGAATGCTTATCTACAGGAAATTTGCATGTGTAAATCTTGTAACAATCCTGGCTAATCCGAAAGCTGATAAAAGTAACATGAGTTAAGACAACTTGCAGACCTCAACTAATAGTTAGGAATAGAGATGCCCTGCAGCAAATCAAATGTGTATTAGATAACTCCTAGCGCATTCATTAGCCAAGACTTAGGAATAAGGACAGCTAGAGACCAATAGAACAAATGGTAGAATTATTACTAAAATGTTTATTGGATGATATTTATTATCTCGATTTGTCCCATCTTGTCCATTAGTGAAAATGTATAAAACTTACTCAATCCTTTGTTCTTGGCTCTTGGCATTTTGATCAGGAGCCCTTTTCCTTGGAGTATACTCCAATAAAAAGCAATCAGAAAACCTGCACCTCGTGTCTGGTGTCCATCATTGGCTTCGGCACCAGGCTCAGACCCGAATTGGGGACAACAACTTGTTGTATTTATGATTATTATAGTGTCCGGGGTCATGTGATCACCTTTTGCGACCTTCTGACAAGCAAAGTCAATAAGGAAGCCAGATTTCAATTAACAACTGAGTTACTAACTTAACAAGTGCAATGATTAACAACTGTGTCAAGAAAGGTCTTAAAATGGGGCAAGACTCACTTAACAATTGTCTTTCTTAGCCACGGAAATTTTGAGCTCAATTGTAGTCATACGCCCAGGATTCCCAGTGTGGGAATACAGTCATATAAGAAAGAAGGGAGGGGAAAGTGGGGAGAAACACCTGAAGAAAAGAGAAAAAAACAAAAGGAAAATCTCCTTTCTCTTGCAATCCAAATCCCTAACCCAAGGGTCTTCCAACTTGGCAAGTTTAAGACTTGTGGACTTCAACTCCCAGAATTCCTGAGCTAACATGACAGGAGGAGGAATTGTGGGAGTTGAAGTCTGCAAGTCTTAAAGCTGTCAAGTTTGAAGAGCCTGCCCTAATCAATGCACCTGATTTTCAACTGCCCTAACCAGAGGTCATGTTCAAGAAATCATCGAATTCCATCATGGAATTTGGGAAGTCTATAAAGGTAGTCCTTGACTTACACCAGTTCCTTTAGTAACTTTTTAAAGTTACTACAGCACTGAAAAAAGCGACTCATGACCGTTTTTCACACTTACCTTTGTAGCACCCACTTGACCATGTGATCAAAATTGAGACGCTTGGCAACTGACTCCTACTTATGACCGTTGCTGTGTCCCAAGGTCATATGACCACCTTTTGCAACCTTCTGACAAGCAAAGTCAATGGGGAAACTAAATTCAGTCACCGGCCAGGTTACTAACTTATCAAGGGGTCACTTACCCACTGCGGCAAGAAAGGTCGCAAAGTGGGGCAAAGCTCACTTGACAAATGTCTCACTTAACAACAGAAATTTTGGTCTCAACTGCAGTCATAAGTCAAAGGCTATCTGTACATCACTGGGAACAAAATAATTTGGGCCATGCAGGTTGGAAGGAGGGCCATGCAGTTTGGAATTCATTTATCTTGGTTATATTGTTAAATATAAATCGCCTTAAGGTAACTCTCAAAAAAGCGTTAACGTAAGACTTTTTTTTAGCCCGGACGAATGGCTAAAAAAAATTATCTTAAAAATTGCACGTATCTTTTACAACTCTTTCTACAGCTCAGTGGACCTGCACTGGGCTGTGGCATGCCAGAAACCGGGTTGAGCAAACCAGCCCCATCTGCAGGATATAGGCAGCACATGAAACCACACGCTCTCCACGGAACCAGTCCCTGGTGCCCAAATGATTGGGGGCCACTGCTATAGCTTGGTGGTTCTTCCTCTTCTTTTTCTTCCCTCTACTGGGGTACACTTCCACCATATTTAGTTCCAAAACTCCTTTAGCCATCAATTGTGACAACCAAGATGCACAGGGATATTCCCATTAAAAGACTTCCTCTTCCTCGTATCTGGGCATGCATGGAGTGTAAACTGAGTGAGAGGAAAGTTCCCTTATGCTACCTCAGCCTTCCTCTCACCTATTTCTATGTCTGGTTCAGTTATATGGCAAGGCAACTGCTCTATCAAATCTGTCCTCTTGTGAATGTATGTTTCCTCACCAGCATGGATTCTTTGATGGTAGTTAACGGCACTGCTACTGCTGAAGCTCTTTCCACATGCCGTGCATTTATAGGGTTTCTCCCCCGTGTGAAATCTTTGATGGGAAATAAGTTGCCCTTTCTGAATAAAGGTCTTTCCACACTCTGCGCATTTATAGGGTTTCTCCCCGGTGTGGATTCTTCGATGGTAGGCAATGGCACTCTTGCTACTGAGGGTCTTCCCACACTCCGTGCAGGTATACAGTTTCTCACCTGTATGGACCCTTTGATGGGAAATAAGTTGTCCGTTCTGAATAAAGCTCCTCCCACACACTGTGCATTTATACGGTTTCTCACCCGTGTGTTTCCTCTGATGGCGAGAAAGGCCACTGTTATAGTTAAAACTCTTTCCGCACTCCGTGCATTTGTACGGTTTCTGCCTTGTGTGGATCCTTTGATGGGACGTAAGATTATTGCTTCTACTGAAGCTCTTTCCACATTCCATACACTTGTATGGTTTTTCACCTGTGTGGATCCTCTGATGGGAAATGAGTTGTCCTTTCTTAATGAAGGTCTTCTCACATTCCATGCATTTATAAGGTTTCTCTCCGGTGTGGATTTTTTGATGGCAAATCAGGGCACTATTCCGAGGGAAGCTCTTTCCACACTCTCTGCATTGATATGGTTTCTCCCCCGTGTGGATCCTTTTATGACAAGTAAGATCTCTGCTTTCAATGTAGCTCTTCCCACAATCCATGCATTTGTATGGTTTTTCACCTGTGTGGACCTTCTGATGGCGAGTCAGATGACCATTTGTTCTGAAGGCCTTTCCACACACTATGCAGTTATATGGTTTCTCCCCTGTGTGGATCCTTCTGTGACGAGTAAGATCTCTGTTCTCAATGAATCTCTTTCCGCACTCCAGGCATTTATATGGCTTTTCACCTGTGTGGATCATTTGATGGCGAAGGAGGTTACTGTTTGTACTGAAGCTCTTTCCACAGTTCATGCATTTACACAGCTTCACCTCTGCGTGAAATTCTTCATGGGAATTAACATAAGTGCTCAGAGTAAAACTTCTCCCAAATTTTATAAATCTATGTGGTTTGTGTTTCCCGTAGAGTTTTTTGGGTAAACCAAGAGAGAAGAAAGTATTAACATTTCTTCCATATTGTCCGCAACCATACTGTTTCCTTTTAGCCTGGCTGCTACAATATTCATGTAAATTAAACATATTTTCCTCTCCTTGGCCACATCTGGCGTATCTTCCATTTGTGTTTTCTTCCTGAGCTTCCTGGATAAGAAATGGATGGATTTCAAAGGGGAGAGAAGTGGAAGAACTCTCTCCTCCATCTTCTGTGTTGCTTTCCTCTTGGCTTTTTGGACCCCCTTGGTGGCCAAACATCACTTCTTCCATTTCATACTCAGCTGTTTGCAGGGGTGCTAACCATGCGTGCTGGTCATTCTCATCGCTCTGCCCATAACCTGCTTGTAAAAAAAGGAAAGAGAAGTTCCTGTTAGAATTTAGAAAGGTGAATGGGATCTCCTTATGAATATAATCCAGATTTCAAACTTGGCAACAGCTGTTGGACTATGGTAGGGAAGTAGTTTGGCAATTGTAAACTTAAGATACTCTTTGTTAGGGATAACATTGTTTACCCTAACTGTTTTGGGTAAAAATAATAAATATGGTATCATGGTTTGTTAGTTAAAGTGTGTGTAACTTTAACAGCAAGAATGTAATTAAGGGTGTGGTTGTAAAAGCACTATATATGAAGCGAGGCAAAAGCAGCTCTCTCTCTCTGGCTTACTGATCCCTAATTACTGGATGGATTGATGACTGCGTTCTTCTAGGAGTGTTGATTTTTCTCAACGGAGAGAAGATAAGATTGGACTGATTTATTGTAAGTGTACTGACATTGGCTATTCAACACGGACTTTGCAAACAGAGTATCCCTGACAAGACTTGACTGAAATTGATATATGACTAATGGACCGTTACATTTGACTATGCTATAATTCTTAAATGGAATAAACTATATTCTTGATAGCACAAGCGTATCTGTATTTTTACTGCGTGTTAACTAGAAAACTTATCTCACACATTTACCTGTCTTCCTATCTGACTTCGCTGCACATTCTGTTTAGTTTGTTTTCCTTAACACCCGTTGGGGAATCCAGGCTTAACACTCTTGATGGCATTTTGGGTTACTTTTCCACAGAGGATCACCTATACAGCCATGATTTTGTAGGACTCTGGGAGATGATGCAAATCAAGTGATGCCCAAAGCACCGCGACAAAAGAGAAGGGGCTAATCCAGCCAACATAGTAAAAGTAAAATGTAGACCCAGTTTGGTCTAGTGGTTAAGGCACCCGACTAGAATCCAGGAGACTGTGAGTTCCAGTCCTGCCTCAGGAATGAAAGTCTGTTGGGTGACTTTGGGCCAGTCACTTTCTCATGGCCCAATTCATTCACAGGGTGGCGGTTGTAGGGAAAATAGAAGAAGGAAGCAATGTTGTGTGTATTCACCGCCTTGAATTATGTATAAAAATAATAAAGGTGGGAAATAAACAAACAAATGCCCGTACTCAGACCTATTACACTGGCAATAGCAGTGACTCCTCAATAGTTATCCAATCTTATTGTATCGCAGACTGCAGTCCAGATGGAAGAGATGATAGTGGGAGTATCTTTTATTTAATTCCTTTGAGAAATTGGCAAGCACCCAGAGGACAATACTGCTCAAAATTAGAGGAAGCTGAGCAAATCAGGATGAGTTGACCAAAGGTTTTTTCTTCCTAGCTTATGTGGAATTCTAGTTCTAAAGAGCTGGATATTTCTCTGTACATCTTTGATTCTCCTGTCTACAATGTGGATTCCTGCTCCGCTAATGGGAAAGGAAATGCTTAGAGAGCTGAAAAAGAACTATGTATAGGATAATGATAAAATGCTATTCTGTTCCAGCTTGGAGAAGGCAGGAATGTGCCCCATCTTCAAGAAACTGTCACTCAACCTGGACATTCTGAACAAGTATAGAGGACTTTCCTACCTCCTTTTTGGGTGGTTAAGAATGGGGTGGGGGTTGCAGCTGCTGAAATTTGATTCTGGAGGGGCAGGGCTCGGTTTATCCTGCATTGAACTGGCTTGTAACTTGGGGTTATCATTGAATGTTGTTCCTTGATGTGCAGCTGTGCCTGTTATCCCCCTTCTTGGAACAGGAGGCTGCGTTCAGCCACTTATGCCTTTGTCACTGAGCAGCCAATGTTCTCTCTATGGGTCTGCTCTTGAAGTTAAGGGCCACTTGATTCATATAGTAAAATACCAGAAAGATCTATATGAAATAACTAAGAACGATTGCCCCGAGTATTATTTCATTAATGTAACGGAAAAAAAGTAACCTGTGACATGAAAACAGCTAAATAAAATACGGGAGAAATAGGTGTTCTTATTTGTAGTTTCCTCTGGCTTCACAGATTCACACAGGTCCTTTTCTTGGCCAATGGAGAAATATTGTGTCTTCTTCTTGGGTGGTTTTCCTCTCTGTTGGCCTTGCCAAAAGACTCTGGACATCCTGGCCGTTTCCCATCCAAGAACAAACCACATCAAATCATGTCATGCCCCTGTTGGAATCTGATTCGGAGGGGGAGGTTGAACAGCTGACAGGGAGTGGGAGTGCGGCTCCGTTGGCTGTGGAAAAAACTGGGGAAGGGCAAAGTCTGGCTGGGCAGAGCAGGGGAGAGGTAGAGCAAGGGAGAGGGAATTCAGAGGAAGACCCAAGCCCATCACCTCTTCATCCTAGGGCATGCAGGGAGGAACAGAGAAGGGAGCAACATGAGTTGCATGGCTTATGGGGGAGGAAAGGCCCCTGATTCCCTTCATTAGCTGCAGTTGGAACACAGTGTTTAAAAAGGGAAGCTGCGCACAGTAAGTTGTTGTGAGCAAACATGAATCTATCTGGTATCATCATGGCTTATCTGTGTTCCTGGCATCTTCCCAACTGTGTGAATTTTGCCGTGCTTTCAAGTCTGAAATTTCTTCTCCTGCCCTGTCAAATTAATTACTGCAGTTTGGTTTGTTTGGATTTTTAGTTACAGTCTGTATATACCTTGTTTTGGACTGAATTTTCTCCAGTTAAAGGCTGTTCCTGAGAGAGTTTTTCTCCAGCTGAAGGTAACCTGGACATTGGGGGCAAAGTTGGAGATAATAAAGGGACTCTTCTTCCTTGTTTGGCTGTGTTGCCTTTGTGTCATGCCCTGGATCATCACAGATCCTGTTTAATTTTTGGAGATTAGGAAAGTGGTAATTCATGTAGTGGTCTGGTAAGGAGTCTGCACCACCCTAGACTGATGCATAGAAATATGTTCCCTGACTTCCTATCCCTAAAAATCTCTAATGAATGGAGCAAAGCGGGGGTCTTACCCAGAGCGGCTATATTCAGAAATATCTCTAGCATGACCTCCCTCCACAAGGCTTTTTGGCTCCAATCGAGTAGCGCCCATTCCTCCAGCGTGAAGTCCACAGCCACTTCCTCAAAGGATATGAAGCCCTAAAAGAGGAAGATAATATCATTCACCAGACAATCTCCGGAACAACTTAAGTGCAGGTTTTTTTCAACTTGGGAAATCTGTACTTCACGTTATTGATTTTTAAGTGTTTATTCTTCTGTATTTCTGTAACTGGTTTATGCTTTTCTTATTGATTCAATTTTATTTTATTTTAACATAAGCTCATCGAATTAAAGTAGATGTTTTAGTCCAACACCTTTCCAGAGTTTATTACGTAGATTCTCAGTCATCCAGGACATGGCAGACATCATCAATCCACAACACAGTCCTCCAAAAAGGCTCCACACCTACGTGGATCACTCAGGTAACCCCGATGACACAGATAAAGCTCCTGGTGACCTCAACAACTCTTTGAAAGAATGCAAATGACCAGGCTGATTGGAAAGATGGTTTATTGAGGGACAGGACCACATAGGTTTGAGGTTCAGGGCAGATGAACACATAGAGGAGAGAGAGAGAGAGAGAGAGAGAGGTATTTATACCCTCTCTTGGGCCTTGCCCTTAAGCTTCCTGTTCCTGCACAAGAAATGTATTCTATTGGTTGTCAGACTCCCAGAGGGCTATGCGGGGGGCATAGCTGAGGTTGTCTGAGATAAGTTTGGTTGAACCTTGCTGGGTGATGCAATGAAGGGGTTTGGTTGTGCCATGTGGTACCTCTGCTGATAATCCTATTATGTCCAGGAGGGTCATGCCTTAATCCCATCACCCTGGAGCTGAAGGTCTAATTGTCTTGTAAGTAGGCTGGCCCAGTCCTGCACAATAAGCTCCAAATATCTGCTGGGTGCAGGGACCTGCCCTTTGTCTTTAAAAACACGTTTCTCCTTTTCTCATCCAGAAAAATATAATATTCTGCCTTTTTTAATATTCCCTAGAATATTTCATTCTTCTAGGAGACAATGCTAACTTTCTGCAATATCTTCCCAGGCGGCTTCCGACAAGGCAAAGTAAATGAGGGAAGCTGAATTCGCTTAATGACAGTGTAATTCACTTAATAACTGTAGTGATTCGCTTAACAACTATGGCAAAAAAGGTAGCAAAATGGAGCAAAACTCCCTTAACCCCTGCTTTGCTTAGTAAGCGAAATTTTGAGCTCAATTGTGGTCATAAGACGAGGAAGTTACCTCATGACTTGTATTAACTTGCCTCAGGTAAAAAGGGGTGGTGGAAAAAAGAACATTAATTTCTCTCAACAATAAATCACATTTATTACAATACCAGCCTCTCGACTTGTACGTTTTCTTTTTGTAGCTCAGCAACAGTCCTGAAGGATACACTAAACTGAATATGACTCAATGGCTCACTGGAGCGTGGCCTCCACGCCCTCTTTTGCTGAGGAACAGGTTGTGCACTGAGCCCCGTACCAAACAGTCCCCTGTTGGGATTCATCCCCCTTACCTGAGTCGGTGGCAGACATGCTACTTCTGCTCCATCACAAACAGGTACCATTTCATAGGTTTCCATTGATGTTCTTCCCTGCCCTGTTACAGAGAGAAAGGGGAGGGAAAACAGATTATTGTAGGGTTGTGTGAATAAGGTCTGAGAATGCACAATAAAGGCCTAGAATTGTATTGCCAAAGCAGCTCACGAATAAGAGCTTGGGCTTTCAGAAGATACCTTCACTTACATGGGGAAGTGAGCTGAGGTGGGTCTTCTGGTGAGATGCTCCAGAAAAGCTCCCGAGAAGGACTGGGTTGATCTCTTCCCTGGGAGTCTGCTGAGATCTCCTCCATGAACAGTTCCTGTATCTAAAAAAACCAGCCTGGTTTATTACCCACTTTCTGATGACCATGACTATGATAGCTTCCTTGCTTTGCCTTCTACCCAAACCCAAATCCACCTTTGTATTTGGCGATTTCTCTGCCTCTTTTGATTATTTTCCTTTTGTTGCCTTTTGGGGAGACCACTGGCCTGGTAGTTAAAGCACAGCGGCATTGTAATGCTTTTGTGGGGAAGGCACATATCCTAAGCCTATTAAAATTGAAGTTGAAGAAACTGGTTGGAAGATATAACAAAAGAACAGATTGAGTATAAACCAGAGTCCTTCCTGTTAGGGATTTTCGATAAACAGCTATCAAAAAAAGTGAAGTACATAACAATACACATATTAACAGCGGCCCGACTAGCTTTTGCTCAATGTTGGAAGCTACCTCATATACCTACAGAACAGATGATCATCCAAAAAATCTCAGATTGTGCAGAAATGGACAAACTAACTTTAGCCTTAAAAAATAAAGATTCTTCAATATATTATAACAATTGGAATTTCTGGTATAAATGGTTAGAACAAAGACAGATTCTATATCATAAGGCAAAAAAGAACAGGACAAATTTATGTGTGTGATATATAAACATACATATGGATAAGGTGTGTGTATATGGCATAAACCAAGAAAAGAAAAGATCTTACAAACTGTCGAAAATGAGAATGTTTTTAAGTGTTTTTCCATTCCTTTTTCTTTTTCTTTTTTTTTCTCTTTCTTTTCTTTTTTGCTTTTCTATCTGTGTATGTGTTGTTGATTTGTTTTTAATTGTAAAATTAATAAAATTTGTTTTTAAAAAAATTGAAGTTGAAGGGCAACTCGAGCAATGTATTCCATCCAGTCTCTAACTACCTATTCAGTTTAAAAGTTCAGTTTTACATATTCTTTCCAAATATGTAGGCTACGTTCCATTTTAAGCACCAAACAATAGCATTCATGTCTTATTTGGTATCATTTTTTTCACTGTCTGACAATTCTTTTGACTAATTTGCATCTGTGCAATGTACCAATGCTTTTTCCCCCTCTTTTGTATTAAAAAAAAGGAACCTAGGAGAATAGTTCCAGAAAAGATGGACAAGGCCTTTAAAGAATTTAGGAATTCAGGTCATTGCTTGTCATATTATCATCTTAGAAAGCTCCTGGGGTGAAATTCTCTCACCTGCCCCTTTGCCAGCTCCTCGGGGGCTGCGGGGCCGAGCAGGAAGCCTTCAGCCAGGGCCACCGCCTGGGCGCAGCTCTCCGCCCCGCACTCCCTCAGCCAGCCCGACAGCTCCGGGGGCAGCAGGGCCAGCAGCTGCTCCAGCACCACCAGGTCCAGCATCTCGGCTTTGCTGCTCCGCTCGGGCCGCAGCCACCCCCGGCACAGCCGGTGCAGGCGGCTGCAAAGCGCCCGGGGCCCCTCGGCCTCCCAGTAGCGGCAGCTGCGGAAGCCCCAGCGCTCAGCCTCGGAGCTGCGAGGACCCTCGGAGATGCTTCCTGGGCTGCCACTTCCCCCAAAGTCCCCTCTGCTTCCAGCCCAAATGACAGGCTCCCAGTTTTTGGCGGCTCCTCTCCCTGAAGACCACAGGAATTCCATCCTACCTAGTCAAGTCACTTCTCCACAAAGTTGACTTTCAATCCATCAATCAGAATAGAGCTGGAAGGGACCTTGGAGGTCTTCTAGTCTGACCCCCCCTGCTCAATACCCTATGCCATTTCAGAGAGGTGGCTGCTCAGTCTTTTCTTAAAAGCCTCTTAAAAAGCCACAACTTCCTATGGCAAGCTGTTCCACTGGTTCATTGTCCTCACTCTTAGGAAGTTCCTCCTTTAATTTCACTTCGATTAAATAACAGTCCAAAGATCTTAGGATAGCCTCATAAATATTGATCTCTGTTTATTTGTTTTCCTGGGAGACATCCCAGGCAAGATCCCGTGCCTTCCCCTTCCAAATTCAAAGGGCAAAAACAACAACAACCAAGAACTGCAATCCACACGCCAATTTGTCTCCCGTCTGAGCAACGCGTCGTATACAGAAGTCCCACTTCCCCGAGGGACCCTCCAGGATCAGGAAACGGGCCCCCTGCGGAACCGAGGACGCGGGCGATTTCCACTCTCTCCGGATCGCTGCAGGTGCCAAGATCCACCCGGGGATCTGCAGGATAGCCAAGGAGGAGGATGCCACTCTCTGGTGCGGGGCTTCTCCGCCTATTTTCACGCTGGGGCAAAGGGATCCTTCTCCCAACACTCAGCAACTGGTTAAACCCGTTTTTTTGGGGTGGGAATTTGCAATTCGGCTTCCTCGCTTTTTTCTTTCCTTTTCCTTTTTGCTGGTGAAAACAACAGCTGCTCCCCGGCCTCCCGCGGCCGCCCTCTTTGTCTGCAAGCGCCTCTGCATATGAGGGCGAGAGAGTGCTCTTCCTAGAGAGGCAAGGGCTTTTTTTTTTTTTTTAGGCGATCCTCACTTCCAGGCCTCCCGCTCAAGCTTTACAAACGAAGCTTTAGGGCGCATGCTCAGCTTCATTCGGCCGTTATCCCTTCCCAGAGCGTCTCGCCTCTCTAGGAAGGGAGCGCTAAACGCTCGGCCTTCTTTCCCTTCCGGGAAGGCGAGGAATGGAGGGGTGAAAGTCATGGCGGGATGGGGGATCTGAGCGTGCTTTTGCCGTCGCACTTCCCAGGAGGAGCCAAGCGAGGAAACGGGACCTCAGATCGCTGGAAATCTGGGAAGGGGTTGAGGGGGTGACTGGGGAGAGGGGAGACCATTTTGTCCCCCAGTAGGCAAACAGGAGGAAGCCCTCTCTGGCTTCCCCTGCAGCTCCCCGGCTGGCTGTGTCGGCGCTTCCAGAGATCCAGGAAACTTGGAAAGGCTTTTCCCGGCTTATACTTGAAGGGGCTTTTGGCTGGGTGGCTCTCTTCAGCCTCCTCTAGGGATCAAGTGTTAGGAGTATGTGTGTGTGTGGATCCTTCTCTGTTGGAAATCCTGGATCTGGATCTGAGGTGTGGAGAGGAGCGCTCTTCTCTGACCAAACCTTCCAGAAAAGGAGTGCCAATAAAAAAAAAAATAGCTGCCCCCTGAATACAGGTAATCCTCGAGTTATAACGGTTCACTTAGTTAGTGACTGTTCAAAGTTACAAGGGCACTGAATGAAGTGACTTCTGACCCTTTTTCACAGTTTCAACCTTGGCAGCCTCCCCACGGTCATCTGATCAAAATTCAGATGCTTGGCAACTGACTTGTACTCATGACCGTTGCTGTGTTCCCAGAGTCATGCGATCCCTTTTTGCCACCTGACAAGCAAACTCAAATGGGAAAGGCAGATTCACTGACCTAACCGGGTTACTGACTTCATTGATTCACTTAACAACTGTGGCAAGAAAGGTAACATGGGGCAAAATTTACTTAACAAATGTTTCACTTAACAACAGAAATTTTGGGCTCAATTGTGGTCCTAACACGAGGTCTACGTGTAGGACAGCTGATTATCATGGAAGAGAGGAGGGAGTTATTCCCCATCTGAAAAGGCTGCTGTGATTGCGGATCTTCCTGGACTTCTATTGTGGAGGGATTTTAATTAAAAGATCCAATGGCATAAACTTCTCCAAGCAAGAGCATCATGATTCTCTGCAATTGGATTGCAAGGGCTACAGTTCTCTGCTATTCTGATTTTTGTTTTGTTTTGTTCTGTTTTTCAGTTCGTGCTTAGATTGGAATACGCGAGCGTGATAATTTGCTTTTTTAAATGTATTATGAAATGTGTAAGCCGCCCATCTCTCCAAGAGGCGACTCTTGTTAACTTGCTTTCGAAGTGACTCCTTGTTTAGATTGCAAAATAAATCATAGCCAAATCCTGGTTCTGTCAAATATAGACGTTGTGATTAAACATTGCTCTGTAGACCAAGACATTTTTGGTTCCTCTTGGAGATGCATTAGAGCAGAAATATAACAAAAAATAGATATGCAAAGGTCAGCAGGACTGAGAGCAGAAAAAGACTCTCCTGCCATTCAAATTGGAAACAGTGGAGAATTTTGGAAAACAACCAACCAGAAGATCCCCCATGAGGGCACTATCAGGTCAGATGTTCAGCATTGGTGCTTCCAGAATTTCTGCTATCAGGAGGCCAAGGGGCCCCGGGAAGTTTGCAGCCAACTTCACCAGCTTTGCCATCGATGGCTGAAGCCAGAAAGGAGCACCAAAGCCAAGATGCTGGATCTGGTGGTCCTGGAGCAGTTCCTGACCGTCCTGCCCCCAAAGATGGAGAGCTGGGTCAGAGAGTGTGGAGCTGAGACCTGTTCCCAGGCAGTGGCCTTGGCTGAAGGCTTCCTTCTGAGCCAGGCAGCAGACGAGCTGGGAATGAAGCAGGTGAGAGAACTTCATCCTTGTAGCTGAAAAGGATTGTAATGTATCTAGCAATGTCCATTATTTCTTAAGTGCCTAGTCAATCTTTCTTGGAATGTATAATTGGAGATTTTTTGTATTAGCCAAATGATTCTGTTTCCCTTAGAGGAAGAACCTCAGACTGTTTCTCTTTCTCTATCTATCTATCTATCTATCTATCTATCTCTCTCTCTCTCTCTCTCTCTCTCTCTCTCTCTCTCTCTCAAAAGGCAGAGGACAAGACTTCTTCATTTATGTGTTTGTCTTAATCCCCCTTCTTGTACAGGTCATAAAACTGGCTGCTCACTTTCCAGATGATAAGCCCAGCAACTTAACTGTTGAGCCATCGCATTACCCTTTATGTGTCAACTCAAAAAATATCTCTCTGGTCTTTTAGAGTTGCCAACAGAAAGGGAGGGGGGAGTAGTGTAGCAGCTTGCAAAATCGAAACTGCAGGTGACCGAAATTTCCAGCTGACCGAAGTTTCTGCCGTGCAAAATTCTAACTGGAGAGTATGATTGATGACTCTTGGCTATGGATGTGTCCCATTGGAGAATATGAATTATGATACACCCAGGGGGTGGGGGTGGGGAAACCAGGGCCCAGGGTAACAATGAATGATGTGTCTCAGAGTCGACTACACCCAGGCAGCACCGGCATGTCTTCTTCTAATAAATCTTCTTTAAGCTTGGAAAATCCGGTTACAGGCTCATGATTTAAATGGGGGTAACTACCGGAGCCCTGACATGTTTATTATTTAGAAATTTTATGTTGCCGCCTACTTGCACATGGCGACTCAAGGCAGCTTACAAGGAAATAAAAACACAATATCAAAGAAAGCAAAAGAAAAAAATAACAACCCCCCTCCCCCAACTCTCCCATCCAGGTGAAAACACACATTCATACTAGCCATTTAATGAGCTCCATCCCACTCTGGGTTCCCTAACCCACTGGCAGAACATTTTGAGGACCTTCCAAAAGAGTGTTAAGAGTGGAAGCCAGTCTAATTTCTGGAGGGATGATATTCCAGAGAGAGGGAACCACCACGGAGAAGGCCCTACTTCTGGGTCCTGCCGGATGTATCTCTTTAGGGGATGGGACCTGCGACATTCCTTGCCTTCCCGCTCTAGTGGGTCGAGTAGATGTGACTGGCAAGAGACAGTCCCCCAGGTGCCCATCATAAAGAGGATATAAAAATATAAAACAGTGGCCTGCTATATTGGATCTCTGGACCATCTAATCCAGCAATCTCTTCTCACAATGGCCCGCCAACCACACAAGGAAGTCCACTATTCCCCCAACAGATGGCTTTCAGAGGCAGTCATACTGTCATCAAGGCTAATAACCGTAGATATCCGTGAATTGGTCCAGCTTTTTTGAACCCAGCCAAGCTGGTAGCCAGCATCACATCTCCTCAGGCTTTCTAATACTAGCTGGTCTTTCAGGTGGAGGAGCCATGGATGGAAATGGTTACAGTGCATCCCAAAGAAAGAGGAGATCCGTTCAGTTCCTCTCAAGATCTGCTCTTTGGGAAGGTCTTTCAGGACAACCCAGCTTGGGTCACTTCATCAGGTAAGAGAAGGTCTTTTCTGAAGGCAGCGAGACTGATCTTCTTTCGCACCAAATCTTAGGCTTGTGCACGAAGATGGCTTTTTTATATAGCGCTTCCTAAGAGCTTATTCATAAGACTTGAAAACAGTCTATTTCCCCCCATTTTTCTCTTGTTCACAGGGAATGGAGAGGCATTCATCCCTGAAACGTCTCCCCTTCGTAATGGAGCAGAAACAGCAGCTATGCCCTCAATTCAGGTAGGGGAAGCTTCATCAGAGAATGGAACCATATGTGGGGCCCAGGCTCAGATTATGGCCAGTTCTTTAGCCAGATGGAATGTCTTGCTCTTCTCATGTCACACTCATACATCTTGGTTTGCTATACAGCAGGGGTGTCAAACTCGTGGCCCACGGGCCAGGTGCGTCATGCGCTGGCCATGCCCACCCTCATTTTAGCAAAGGGGGCGAAAGTCATGATACGTCACGTGATGACACAAGTTTGACACCGCTGGTACACAGGATTGGTGTGAAAATACAAAATCCAGTATCTAAGTCGGGTGTAGAAAAAAAGAAAATGCTTTTGCATTTTATGGAAGTATTCCAAAACAGTCAAGAATGGAATGAGTGAAGTAAAAGCATAGCACAGAAACTACTACAAGTATAGGAGAAATGGTAATGATATGAAATACAGATCTCCATGTAAATATCCTCCCAATCGCAAAGTAAATATTTCTATACAATAAAAACATTTCAGTCCACACTATAAAGAAAAAGATTTCGGAGAAGTCACGTAGGATCCAAGCTTGCCTCCAAGATAACAATACAGGAGAATGTTTATAGCTCAGTGTTAATGATGCTACCCAGTTTGAGTAACGAAACGTCTGCAAGAAAATAGCCAAGCTCAGAGAGCACCATTGTCTCCAAGAATTTGAATAGTTACAGGGGGGGAAAATCCTACATGTTTGTGTGTGTTGTTCAAAGTCCCTGCAATTTGCTTACCAGGCAGGCAGAAATGAGGCATACTGCTCCCTAAGCATTCTGAGCCAGTGGGAAGGGGACCTCCTTTTCTGCTGGTCTGCATCCTGGATGTAGCTAAATCATATCTGTTGAGGTAATTCCCTGTTAGCAGAATGAGTGCACTCAGGGAAACATATTGAGAGTGATGTTGAATAACATACACACAGCACACAGATACACTGTATAGTAAAATGTAGGTTTTACTTCCAGTGAACAGTTAAGCAAAGTCCAAACACAGTCCAAGTCATATACGGTTATAGCAGTCAGTTTTCAGTCCAGGGATAATCCAATAACAAAGTCCAGTATCAATAACAGTTCAGTAATATACACATCAATCCAAGAATAACCACGATTAGCAACAGTCAACAGGGAAATGCAGGAATGGCAACACTCTGGGAAACCAGGTTTCTGGCTCCATCTTATGGCCGTCTGAGGAACCACACCCAATTACAATTTTAGCACTC